TGTGAAGCTTCAGAAACCATCCCGCTGGCAACACAGGCCTGGTGCTGAGCACGGCGGCACACACCTTTAAATCCCAGTGATGGAGAAGCAGGGGCAGGCAGATCTCCGTGTGTTCTGAGTTCCAGGCCAGCCTGGTCTGCACAGTGAGTTCCAGGCCAGCCTGGTCTGCACAGTGAGTTCCAGGTCAGCTAGGGCTACAGTGAGACCCTGTCTAAAAAAAAAAACAAAAGCACAAACAAAACATGATGTGTCAGCCGGGCGGTGGTGGCGCACGCCTTTAATCCCAGCACTCAGGAGGCAGAGCCAGGCGGATCTCTGTGAGTTCGTAGGCCAGCCTGGGCTACCAAGTGAGTTCTAGGAAAGGTGCAAAGCTACACAGAGAAACTCTGTCTTGAAAACATGATGTGCTGTCTGGTTGCTCCATCTATATTTGTCAAATAAAACCTTTTAAAATGTGTTCATTTTATGTCAATACAATAGCCACAATCTTAGCTTTAAGAACTACCCATGCTGATACTTCCTTACCATGTCCAATCTTGTCTTTGACTGGGTGTCCACTGTTGCCCACGGCTGACCCTCTGCCTCATTTGCTCAGGGGTCTTTCTTTCCTTACTGGCTCCCCAGCTCTGCTTCCCCCAGGCCAGAGCACTCACACACAAAGCTGACCCCCCCCCCCCCCCAGCCCACCTTCAGCAGCTTCTGGGAACGGGCTAACGACAGCCAGAACTTTCCCCTGCTTGGCTAGGCATTTCAAGTGTTTGTTCAGCTTCCCTCCCAGATTCTCCCCGGCTCTGTTTGTCCCTCCTCTGCCACAGAAAGACAAGCCCCTCCCCCTCGTTCCGTTTGAATCTGAGATGCTTGCAGAGTCCTGAGATGGGACTGCTCTGCCCATGACCACAGTCTTTCCTTTGAATGACAATCTCTGCCTACCTAAGCTTGACTTTATTTAACATCCTCTATCTTCAAGTTTCAACTCTTGGCACATGGCCTGATAGGCACACTGCTTGTCACCACACTGTCTTGAGTGCCCCTGAAAGATTTGGGGGCACCACAGCAGCCGGTTGTAGTTTGGGGGTTTCCTGTGTGATGATTTCTGAAGCTTCATGGTCCTTTCCTGGAAGCTGTTAGTTTCCCCCGCTGTCTGATTTCTATTGGCCCCATCCTGATTTCTTCTGGGCTCAGGGCTCTTGGGGGAAAGTCTGTCCCAAACCTGCTATGGTGGAGTTTGGTTACCAGCTGGGGGAAGCGCCTCCTTCCTGGCAGCTGGAGGTCAGGCCCACTCCCGATCCTTTCAACAACAGAGGCCTGGGCAGACTACACCCATCACTGCGATCAAGTCAGAAACTTGCAAGACAGAAGCTTTGCAAGCCTGTGGCAGAAGAATGTCTCTTCTCACCCAGGGCTTCCTCTTCCGGTTTAGTGAACACCCTTCATGGTGCATCCAGGCAGGGCAGCCACAGACCTAGTCAACTGTGTTCACAGAACTCTGTTCCCAAAGGTCCCACACTGTCTAAAGCTCCTGCAATTGATTTGCAAACACATAAAAACTGACTTCACCATTTGGACAGGGGCCAGGTTTTAACCCGAGTCAACGCTGCTCTTTATGCTTCCTAAAGCTTCTTCCCTCACGATGTTATCTCAGGGGAGCTGGCCAAAAGTCTTCTCTTTCAGGGAAACATGACCCCTGCCAGGGAAACACAAAGACACACACAGATACCTTCTTCCCCAATGAGTCATCCAGCCCAGAAGGGTAGCGGGTGACCAGAAACAGCTGGCTGGCATATCGGGAATATGAGGGAGAGGGAGAAAGTGGGAGGTGTGTGTGTGTGTGTGTGTGTGTGTGTGTGTGTGTGTGTGTGTGTGTGTGCTGCGGTTCTCTGTTGGGCTCACACACTTCATGGCTACCCACAGGAAATCCCCACTCCTTGTTTTAGGAGGGATGTGGGAGCAGCTGACATGTGGTGAAGTGAGCCTCGCTCTGAAACCCTAGACCACACGTCCCAGGGCCTCCCTTCCTGGCTTCAGACAGCAAAGGACAGGGCAGGTCTAGCATGAGGAAAACCTATGCTTCCCCCTTCTCCCTCTTCCAGGTCTGTCATGTGAATCCAAAGCAGATCACAGACAATAGAATTCTGATGTCATTTAACAAACCCTCGGAGCTGTTGCTCAGCGGTGGAGCACTTGTCTAGAGTCCACAGGCCGAGTCCATCCCCAGTATCCGTGAGCAGGCAGTGAAAACAAGCAACCCAGTTTTGTGTGCCAACTTCTGCTTGAACATTAATGTCCTTCACAGGCTTGTGCATTGAATGCTTGGCCCCCAGCTGGCGACACTACTCTGAGAAACGTAGGAACTTTAGCAGGCGGGGCTTAGTGAGGGGAAGTCCCTGGAAGGTGGCTTTTGAAGTACACACGGCCTTGGGGTCCTCTCTAATTACTTCCTGTCTGCAGTAAAGTGAACAGCCTCCTCCTCTCCAGGCTCCTGCCTCCATGGTGTTCAGCCTTATCTCAGCCCTAAAATAACAGGACCAGCCAAGCACCGACTGAAGTCTGAAACCCTGAGCCCAAACGAGTAATTCCTGCCTTTAGTCTATTCTCCCAGTGTTGGTATGATGGCTACAGAAAGCTGCGCATCACACAGTGTGACTTCCTTTCCTCTGGGGAGATTATAGGATATATTCTTTCCTCAAGACTGCAGAGGGTGCCATGAGGCAGAGGGGGCTTCCAGAGGGTGGCTGAGAGCTGAAGAGGATTTTGGACAGGAGTGTCTTTAATCTTACAAAATGTGGGGGTGCTGGGATTAGAAGGGGAGAGGAAACCGCCTGAAGAAAGTTCCAAAAGTTCCAAAGGCCCAGATGCTTTCTGAACTGAATCTGCCTGTGTCTCCAGCCTGCACACAGGGCCACAGACAACACACCTCAGGTACTGAAGGCTCCCTCTGAAAGGAGTTTTCCTAGGGGTTTCTCCTAGTGGCGGATCTTATCTCCTGTGCCTAATCATTTTTGTCAACCCAACGCAAACTAGAGACTACCAGGGCGGGATGGGGGCATGGCCTCCTTTAGATTGGCTCCTGGGCATGTCTGGGGTACATTTGATGGCTGATTGATGGAGGAGGCTCTGTCCCACCGTGGTCAGTGCTACCCCAGACAGGTGGGTCTAAGGTTGTAAGGAAGACAGTGCTGCTCTGGGGTCTCCGCTTCAGCCTGCCTCTAGGTTCCTGCCTTGAGCTCCTGCCTGCCTTACCTCTATGACGGACTGTAACCTGTAGGGTGAAATAAACCTTTTTCTCCCACAAGTTTTGTGTAAATGAGGTCATCTTCTCAAGTGGGCACCTCCTACTGCCTGCCTTGCACAGTCAGAATGGTTACACGTATCGGCTCACAATGTCCGTGAAGTTGTCTGGGGTAACAGCAGGTCCTTAGGCATCAGCACCCTTGTCACCACCGCTGCCAGCAGCAGCAGCACTGGCACCTCCAAGTGAGGACACCTGAGTGCCTGGGCTGCAGCTGCTAACCCTCTGTCTTCACAGTGCCTGGTGAAGGGAACAGATATAGAGAAGTTCATTGCCCCATCTATGGTAAGCACCACAGGGTACCAGAGAGGTGTAGCACCCCCCCACAGTCTTCATCAGTAGTATCCCCAAGTCCTCCAAATCCGTGTTTTTAACCAGAACAAGTTGCTTATTAAGCAAAAACGGCTACAAGGCAAGCCTCAAGACCATCCCCTGCCACTCCACCTACCATCGGCATTTTTTCCAG